AAATGTATCTTCTTCATGTACAGCATTGTTGAATGGTGTTGATTCATTTTCGGCATTATTAACACCACTAAATGTCGCATCTAAAAGTGACCCATTTAAAACGGGTCCAGTCGAATCTGCGGATGTGGCTGTTGAAGTATTACATGGTTTCCCCAAACTCTCTAAACTCTCCATAACTCGTTTATTATTAGGGTCAAGACTAAAAAAAAACAAATATTAAATTATAGTTATAATGTGAATTTTTTAACTAAAATGTTAGTTTATAAAAATCTTAATAAGATATTGTAATTCAAAAAATGAATATGTTTATATATTATCAATTTAAAATAGAGTTATTTAAAAAAAATTCCTATTGTTATCAAATTAAATATTTTAATTAAACTATTTTTTTTATATTTATACATTAGTATTCAATAACCTATTTAAATGAAAAATTAATTATACTTCTATAAAGGAATATTATATTGTTATAATTTATTACAACATAATATTTATTACACCTAAAAACTAATAGAAGTATAGATCTTATAACTCTAAGGCACTGAATAAAAATCTGTAAGCCAACATAACTGATACCCACTGAACTAAATACATGGAACCCGTGTATTAATCAAAATATGATGTTGGTAGGAAGCCATCCTATGTAATCTGAGTCATTAGAAAATATAATGAAATGTTATGTTATCGATAAAAATTATCATCATCATCATAATATTAATGTTAATAATCAAATGGGAATGCATATGGCGGCTCTTGGTACATTTTACAAATATGAGAATTATACACAATATGCATTTCATGTATTTAGTTCAGTGCTGATATCATTGTTGCCGTAACATTGTTACATCTCTTTTCCTTGTTTCACTGTAAGTTTCTTAATCGCTCAGAAACATCTGTGTAAGTAAGAATAATTATTTCTTTAACTGTTATGTTTGCCTTAAAGTGTATGTTTTAAGTAGAGGAATGCCATATTCATATGTTTGATATGAAATATAAAAAATCAAATTAATTACTTGAGTGCAGAATAATAGAAGTCAAACGCTTTTTCTAATTGATTTTGTTTGACACTTAAATCACCAAGCATTTGATATAATCTACAAGTTGGTTGATCTAATGCTTGCTTATGCAATACAGCAACAGCAGGACTGAAATTTCCTTCTTGTTCAAATATCTGAGCAATCATATATATTGCAGGGAGATAGTATTCATCAACATTTAATGCTCTTTCCAAAAGTATTTTTGCTTTGCCAATTGTCATTGGATCTTTCATGAGTATTGAAGCATATAACTAAACAAAAAATATGAATTATGTAGTATATTAAGATATATTTATGAATACAGGCAATTCTATAAATATTTACTTAAAAGGATGCAACACAAACATTTTTAACACACCATATTACCCTTGACAGATTATGTTCAACTTTGTTATTTTAAAAATTAGAGTGATTCAATCTATTATAAAACTTGATGGTAAGATTATCTGTGTTTGTATGTCAGTTGTTGTTACAATAATTCAGTTTTTAAGTGAGTTATGAGCATTTTTAATTTATGCTATATTGTATAATATGTAGAATTTAGTAAAAAAAGCCCAAAAACAAAGATTATTTTCTTACCATCAGGTTTTAAAATAAGTCAATTCACTCTAATTATTACACAAACAATAAAACATGATCTGCTGAGCATATTTTGATATGTAACGTATTTGTAAAACGAAGACAAAAAATTCACGCGCAGCATTTTCTTATAAGATGGAATAATTAAATTGATATTAATTGACTATATTTCAATCTCTAAGTAAAATAAAATAGGGAACAAGAAATTTGATGTGAAAATTAAATATACATGTATATTATATATTTTTTAATTTTCATTTAAATTTGAATATTGAAATATAATATCTAAAAAATATGATAAATTTTATATAAAAATGTGAATATCTTTTACATTACTTATATATTAATATATATACAAATTAATACTTACTGTTAATGCTTTTGGGTGGTTATTCATTTGCTTACAACAATTACTAGCAGCTGTTACAGCATTTCTCATCTTATGCAATGCTATATAACAATCTACCATACCTTTATGCGGATCAAAAAGATAAGAAGCAATCTAGGAAATAATAGACACATATTAAATCATATTAAAAAAAGAAAATTTAATTACTTACATCATTAGCTTTACGAAATTGTAAAATAGCATCAGAATACTTTTTCATACTCGTTAATATCATACCGTGCAACAATAACGCCTCAATATTTTTTTGATCAACAGAACAAGCCTTTAAAATCACATGATGCTTGATGTAGGGTCAATTAATGTATTTATTTAAAAATCATTATAAATACCTTTTGTGCTAAGCACAGAGCTTTAGAATAATTACTATTGCTGTAACACACAAAAGCAAGAACTATCCACATATGGGAATCAATCGATGATTCATCTGTATAACTTGTTGGAAGCAATTTTTCTAAATCTCTATTGTGTTTTTCCATGTATAGACACATGGCTAGTGTACACAGGCCATCTTGCATTAGTGGATTTAACCTGTAAGCCTACAAAATACCCTGTATTAAAATATATTTTTCAAATTCAAATATGTAATGATTGTAAATAACTAACTCTTTGTAAGTAAATAAGTGCATTTTTGCGATCTCCATAAAAATAATAAGACTTTCCTATAGCTACTAATAATCTATTACTATTGCATAAAGGTGAGTTGTCATCCAATTGTTTTAATGTATTGATTGCTGCAGGATACTCGGTCTGTTGAAACAGATAAGCATGGGCTTTTATCCAGCCACTGATCCTAACAAAATATATACACATAATAGGTGATATAGTTCCAAATATTAATGATTAAAATACTAATTACTAACCATTCAAGTCCATTAATTCCAACCATTTCTAACATCATAGCATTCACTTCTGTTCCTTTAACACCTAAGCTCAAAAGTCCTTCAGCTGCTTCAATTGCTAATGGACATTCCTTGAAAAATAAAACTAAATTAAACTATGTATAAAATAAGTATAGTCGTTGATTCTGAGCAAAAGAAACAATGTATACACATTCGGAAAAAGAAAGGTACCAGGTAACTGACTTGTAAGCATAGGCGTGGCTTCGTTCAAAGCTTTGCCAGAGTTGGTGGGAAAAGCATCTGACCACTGCGGCAGAAGGCAGCTAGCATGCCTCCGACAAAAACTTGATTGCCACCTGGTATCTTTCTTTTTCTGAATGGAGAATAGTTATTGATTTTAAAATTGGATTTGAATTTAATTAAACTACCATTGTGTGGATACACATTTAAATAAATAATATAAATAAACATAATTAAAAAATAAGACTGATATACTTAGGACATTTTTTAGAACTAAGATTTAATTGAAATTTTAAGTTTGAAAACAGTTTCTATTAGGGTTAAAATGACTTGAAACTGGTAATAATTTAACTTCTAGTTTATAGAAAACTTATAAGATAACTATTACAAGATATTGCAGATACTTACTTTTAGAACTTTGTTATAAGCAGTAACAGCGTGAACAATATTGCCCATTTGATGATTAAGTTTTGCTATAGCCATATTAATTTTAGTTTTCCTTTGTTTAGACGGCACTGTTTGTAAGACACTTAATGCCTTTTTATTATCTTTTAATTTCACCAAACACAAATGTAGTTGATATTTAATATCTGAAAAATCAACAGTATTTTTTTATTTTTTAAAAATTATCAACACCCTTACACATAAATTAAATATCTACAAAACTACAAACCTATTTATGGGTATACTTATATAATAGGCTAAAATGCACTTTACCACCCCATGGAAATTTTTTGATTTTTTTTTAGAACTTACTTATATTAACTATTTAAGAACAATTTTGCAATCAGAATTTGTTGGTCGAACTTGTTTCAAAGTCATGGACTTCGGAAGTTAGCAATTTTGAGTTTTTTACTCGTGAGCGCAACACAACGTTTATCACGTTTAAATGGCAATATTGGAGTTGTGCGAACAGAGCCGGCAAGCGAAGGGAGTCACTGTAATAAATACTTATGTTACTCATATTTCATAGTGAAATTTAAGTGTATAACTTAAGTTAAGTTTATTCTCCTATGGGCTGTAATAATTTTGGATATAAAATATTTGCCACTTAGATCATATGCAACTATAAGTTCAATTTAACACTGAAACATTGATCAATATTTAAAAAATAATTATTTTCTTGGAAAATGTGCACATCATTTGACTGTCCGGCTAATAAATTCTGACTACACCCCCATTCTTAACTTGTTGAAGTACAAAAGTATCAAAAAAAAAACCATCAATATTTGTAAATTGTCATACTCAGTAAACTAGAGTGACGCACAAATGCGTAAAAAAAAACACAAAATTACAAACTTCCAAAGGCCATAACTTCAAAACTAAGTGCGACCAAATTCTGATTGCACCATTGTACTTAAAAAGTTAATATAGGTACCTAAGTACCAAAAAAAATCGAAAAATTTGCATGGGATGGGTAAGTGCATTTGTTCAATGACCATATAATAACTTATAATTGAATATTATACTAACCTAAAACAGGCATGGGATCTTTTGCCCCATCATAAGGAGTTTGAGGAGGGTTTGCCGAAAACCAGGCTTCTTTAAATGTCAATGCTGTTACATATGCAGCTTCAGCTTGACGATAATTGCCTAAGAAGTAATGTGCATCACCCTGATATGCTAATACGCGGAATTTGTGTGGAGCTGTTAAGATATCTGTTGTATGTTCACTAACTTTTAAAACCATTTCTGCCTAAAATGTAAGTAAAATGTGTTAGCAATAAGTACAAATTTAATAATTCAACAATTAATCTAACACTTACCACTTTAACGACATTGGAGTGTAATTTTTGGCTGTGTAACAATTTTATTTGATCAAACAACATACTCATTTTGAAAAATTAATTAAACTTTGTACTGGATTGCCTTAAATGGTTTTATCGATAAAAGCAATTAGCCGGCTTAAACGTAATTATGTATACAACGATTATTACTGTTACTTATTAGGAGTAGAATCCAAAAAAAAGATAGACAATATTCAAAACGTATTTTAAAATAAACAATAGATAGGTACAATTCAAAAAATTTTAAATAAAAAGTCTGGGTAAAAGTTTATTCAAGAAAATAAATACGATTCGGGCAAACAAAAGTCATACAGTAGTTTAACATAACAAATGGTAAATAAATTTTATAAATGAAATAATAACAACTAACGGCTTAACGCGGCATTAACAAAATAACATTTGTCTTACATGCTGTAATCTGTTATCTAAACGACTTCTGCTTATCACTATAATAACAAAGACGGAAGGTAGACAGCACGGCTATAGATATGAATGGTTGCGCGACGGCATATAGCGTGTTGCAGAAGAAAACGGCGTTATATGTTCTTATCAAAAACCTCTAGATTACTAGCGCTTTTAGCGGAATTTGTGGTGTACCATTAAGTTGTCATATTATTTTTCAAATCCCGGGTTTTTTT